TGGATACAAGGTCTCCACTCTGTTGCCCAGGCTGGAGTGCAGTAGTGTCATCATATGTCACTGCAACCTTGAAGTCCTGGGCTCAAGCAATCCTTCTGCCTCAACCTCCTGAGTAGCTAGTACTACAGGTGCATGCCACCATGCCTGGCTACATTTTTTTATTTTTTGTAGAAACAGGGACTCACTGTTTTGCCCAGGCTGGTCTCAAACTCCTGACCTCAAGCAAGCCTTCTCTCTCGGCCTCCCAAAGTGCTGTGATTACAGGTGTGAGCCACTGTGCTGAGCCTACTGATTGTGTTTAAGCTTGATAATTCAAAGAACCTTGCTTAATCCTTGATGGTTAGATTGTTTTTTCTTGTCATCTTGTCTGTGTGTACCATGCCAGATTGCCAATTGATGTTTTGTGTTTACTTAGAATTTCCATGGCTATGTGCTGTTTTCTATTCTTTTGTTTCTTTTTTATTCCATGTTGCGCAATCTGTACTGTCAACCTCTCTTCCTATGAATTACACACATAACATACTACTATAAAAGAAGGGTAATCCTCGAAATTTAACCTATCTAAAATAAGGGAAGATATATGCCTTCGATCCCCAGAACAGCACCAAAAAACTCCACAAAAACACATTGCTGATTGCAGATCCCTGTCATCCCCTGGTCCCTAAAGATGGGACTTGTGGAGGTTGAAAGGACAACATCTAGAAATCCTTTCCAGGAAACCCATTGGACATAATCCAGGTCAGAATTCCCTAAACAACAGTAAGAAAGCCCCAGAAGAAAAGCTTCATGGATTAAAGTTATCCTATTATCTTTAAGACCTTCATTTCTAAATATAATTGAAAGCTCTGTCCATTCTTCATGCCTTTATGACATTGGCAAGGCCTAATTAGACCTTATAAAGAAAACCTTGTCTGATTGCTGTGGTAGTAATTTGTCAGCTGCAGATTCGTATATATTATAGATATACTTAATGTGAATATGATTTATATAAACTTGAAATGTGTAATAGAAAATATTAATAAAATCTCACTTTGTGTAAATACTTTGAAATAACAAATTCTTTCAAATTAAAAGAATTAGGAATCTCATAGTTTCACAGATAGCTGACTGAATGAATTACAAATTATGTCTATCCTGCTGCCACAGGAAAGTACCATTTTAGCTGATAAACAGAAATGCCCAACATACTTTGTCATGTCAAATGAACCAGTGCTGTTGTTTATATTAGAACTTCTCTGGTGATTTTAGACATTATTTTGTTATTTTTGTTTTTTGTTATTTTGTTCTGAAACTTTACCTGTTTTCATTAAGTTTTAAAAATATATTCAATGATAATATCATGCAAAAATATTAAGCTCTCTGCCTTTCTATTATTTCATGAATTTAGAGTTTCTGTGATAAAATGTCATCAAACTTAAGCAATTACCATGTTGAGTCATGCTTCTCATTTCTGCAAAATATTAGAGATAATGCTAAGAAAAAATTTTTAAAAACCAATAAAGCAAAAATATCCTACAGTATTTGTTGCTCTATGTGCTACATGAGCATTTACTTCCCATTTTACATGAAAATATATGTACATTGATATGTATTTTATATTACATTTCTCCTTTGAGAAGATTAGTCTTGAATTATGTAAGGTTTGAATCATGCAAAGTTTTTGGGAATGCAACCTTTCTAAAATTTCCTCTAAATCCAAACTCCAAAATATGAATGGTTGCATGTTTGTTCAGGTCCTCAAAATACTGTGAAACACATTTCAAAGTGACCCACACTCTTTCTCTGGAAAATGAAGGAACTGAGTAGCAAATAGAATGAAGCTAACTTCCTTCTTCAGTTTTGTCATTGACATCTTGTTTCTGATTGACTTGGTTGGAAGATAAGTCCCCTAGTGTCTAAAACTTTCTAGCATTTCAATAAAGTAATTTTTGTAGAGGAAAAAGTGAGCCCTTTACTAATTTGGTTAACTTAAAATAGCCAGGTTCTCACCTCTCTGGTCTATATAAGATATTATTTCTCCTCTTCACAGATCTAGCTTCCAAAGAAAATTAATTAGGTATGTCTGTACTTTACTACTAATTATGCAGATTACTGAAATATGGACTAAGGTACCGCCTTATATAATTTACTTTTCTGTAACGCTGAGGAGACTCTAATGTCAGGATTCCAGTCATATTTTCAAATTTTCATTCAGAGGAAATATTTACTGGAATTGTTACTTCTCTATGAGATAATAGTCTCCAGGAATATGCTCCTAAATCAAAGAAATTTCTGTATAAATTCATTGAACATTATGCTTTAATATCATGTTTGCATGCCGGTAGTTGTAAGTTTAAGGAAAGTTGTATGGATTGATTTATTTAAAAATTGTCATTTTTGTTTATCTCAATTATGAACTGTTAATAGATGGGGAATATCTATTTTGATGTACATGTTTTAAAATATTATGTAAATAGTATCATGCATGTATCATTCTACAGTTTTCTTATTTGTTCTATTTCTTTAACTAATGCCATGACAGATTATTTTTACATAGTCTAGATACAAAAGTCCCTTATTAAATATATGATTTGCAAATGAGTTCACCATTCTGTGAGTTGACTTTTCATTTCTTGATGGTGTCCTTTGAAAGACAAAGGTTTTTAATTTTGATGAAATTTCACTTATCTAATTTTGTCTTTTGTTCACAGTTTTCATGTCACATCTAAGAATCTTTTGCCAAGTTCAAAGTCATGAAGATTTACCCCTATGGTTTTTTTAAAGAGTTTATAGTTTGTGATTTTATGTTTAGGTCTTTGATCCATTTGAGTTCATTTTATGTACTGTGTGAGATAAGAGCCCAACTCCATTCTTTTGCATGTTGCTATCCAGTTGTCCCAGCAACATTTGTTCAACAGACTTTCCCCAATTGAATGGTCTTGGCACTCTTGTCAAAAATCGGGTGACCATATATATGGGTTTATTTCTTGATTCTCAATTATATTCCATTAATCCCTATGACTATTTTTATGCCAGTACTACACTGTCTTGTTTACCATTGCTTCCTATTGAGTTTTGAAATTTTTAAATGTGAGTTCTTCTACTTTTTTTTTTCCCCCCAAAATCATTTAGGCTGTTCTGGTCCCCTTGCAATTCCGTATGAATTTGAGAATCAGCTTGTCAATTAGTACCAAGAAGTCTGCTAGAATTCTGGAAGGGATTGCACAGAATCTTAGATCAGTTTAAGTAGTATTGCCCTCTCAACAATGTTTAATCTTCCAATCCTTGAACATGGAATGTTTTTCTGTTTATATAGGTCTTCTTTAATCTCTTTCAAAAATGTCCTATAACTTTCAAAGCAAAATTTCTACACTTCTTTTGCTAACTTATTCCTAAGTATTCAAATTATTTTTATGCTATTGAGAATGGAATTGTTTTCTTAATTTAATGTTCATGATTGTTCATTGTTGTATCTATAAGCACAACTGATTTTTGCGTGTTAGTTTTCTATCTTGTTATTTTGCTGAATTCATTTATTACTTCTAATAGTTTGCATGTTTGTATAATCTTTAGGATTTTTTGCATATAAGATTATATCATCTGCAAACAGACATGATTTTATTTTTTCCTTTCCAATCTGATTGCTTTTCTTTTCTTTTTCTTGTCTAATTGCTCTAGCTAGAACTTCTAAATACTGTGTTGAATAGAAATGGAAGCACTTTCTTGCTCCTGATCATAGAGGAAAATCTTCTACCATTGAGTATTACATTAGCTGTGAGCTTTTTATATATGCCCTTATCTCTTTATTCCTTTCCATATATCCAAGTTATTATCTGGTGTCATTTTATTTCAACATGAAGTATTTCCTCCAGCTTTTCTTAAATGTGGACCTGTTATCAATGGATTCTCTCACCTTTGATTTATTTTAAAATGTCTTTGAACCTTTATTTATTAATAATTGTTTTAGTAGAAAACAGATTTTCCTCTCAACACTGAATGTTGTTCCAGTGTCTTATGACCTCCATTGTGCTAGTGAGAAATTAGCTATTAATCATATTTTTTTATGTGATATAGGGTTGTTTTTTATTTGTTTTTGTTTTGCTGTTATCATGATTTTTCTTGTTATCTTTGGGAGTAGTAGTTTGATTATCATGTGCCTGTATGTAGTCTTCTTTGTTTATTCTATTTGTGGTTGATTGAGCTTCATGTAGCTATGAGTTAATGTTTTGACCAAAGTTGAAAATTTTTTTTTGTTATATTTCTTGAAATATTTGTCTTCTCTTTCTCTTTCTCTGCTGCTTGTTCAACTCCAAATTTCCTTGTGAATTATGAAAGATATTTTTTTTCTTTCTTTTTTTTTTTTTGAGACAGAGTCTCACTTTGTTGTCCAGGCTAGAGTGAGTGCAACATTTTAAGAATAAAAGTTTACAATCCATAAACTAATTTCAAAGTTCAAAGAAATTGAAATTTAAAAAAATTTTTTTTTTTTTTTTTTTTTAGAGACAGAGTCTCACTTTGTTGCCCAGGCTAGAGAGTGAGTGCCGTGGCGTCAGCCTAGCTCACAGCAACCTCAAACTCCTGGGCTCAAGCAATCCTGCTGCCTCAGCCTCCCAAGTAGCTGGGATTACAGGCATGTGCCACCATGCCCGGCTAATTTTTTCTATATATATTAGTTGGCCAATTAATTTCTTTCTACTTATAGTAGAGAAGGGGTCTCGCCCTTGCTCAGGCTGGTTTCAAACTCCTGACCTTGAGCAATCCGCCTGCCTCGGCCTCCCAGAGTGCTAGGATTACAGGCGTGAGCCACCACGCCCGGCCTGAAAGATATTTTCAACGTGTAGTTTTAAACCTTGGAAAAATGCTTAGAAATAAGAGAGGGATGTATGAATGAAATGCCACAATTTTCTAAGAAAATTTAGTTCCTTAAATATATAAACACAATACAGAACTCATTAGATTTACAGTGGACCATATTAATGTTATCTGTCTTCTTTTTCTATTTTTACAAAATTTATTCCCAGGTGCATTTCCTCCATCTGCTATTTATGCACGAAAAGACTTGCTACAACGATCTAGCCATATTGCTACCAAGACTTTCCAAGCTCTTCGTATATTTGTGAACAATGAGCTCAATGAACTCTACACAGGACTGAAGACAGCTCAGAAGTTTCTGAGACCTGGTGGTCGCCTTGTTGCCCTCTCCTTCCATTCACTAGAGGATCGCATCATCAAACGATTCTTGCTTGGAATAAGCATGACAGAAAAGTTTAACCTAAGTGTTAGACAGAAAGTGATAAAAACATCACAATTGGGTTCAGGTCATGAAAACCAGGAAGGAGTCTCTATTAAGAAAGCTCCTTTAATGTGGGAATTGATACACAAAAAGGTACTTACCCCAGAAGATCAGGATGTACAAGATAACCCCAGAGGGCGCTCAGCCAAGCTTAGAGCAGCTATCAAATTATAAGAAAGTTACCATCATCTTACTCTTCAAATTGTTCCTTACAGTTTCTCTAATTTTTTTCCATGTGATGTTCCTGAACAGCTTAATACTGGTTTTAAGTGTGGGACAGTCTGGAAATTGATGACATTTAACATTATTTTTTTTCCTCAAAAAGAAACTAGGAAATATTAGCATGACACAGAAAGTTCAGCTCAGGGATAGCAGCATCAAGATGGGAAAAATGTGTTTATCTTTGTATTATATTTAACTGCTGAAATGCAATCTTTTCTCTGGCCAGGAAATTTTTTAAAAAGAATACTATGTTGTATTTATCTAAATATGTAAACTCAGTCTGTAAGGAGAAAGATATTATAATCATATTTGCATGCCCTAAATTCTGAATTTAGATATTCAAATTTGCAACATACTTTCTCTGGATCAAATAATTAATGATGATCATGGAATGAATTTTAATTTCCTTACTTGTGAATAATTAATTACTATGGCTTTCTCAAATATAGGCTTTCCACAAATTTTAAATTTTTAAATATTTGTTTTAAAATGCATTATACTAATAAATTTCATTACTGAAATTGTATTTCATTTTAAAAGGATTTTTCAGTGTGATATGGGCCATTTTTTCATGTATTGCAAAGTAAAAGAGTAGAATTCTTATGAGGAATTGTTTCACAAAACTTATATTTAAGTCAATTGTACCTATTTTAATAAATAACTCAGAATCCCTTTAGTAAATAAAATCTCTGAATAGAATCTTGCATTTTTTAATTGAGCTATTCAAAATAATTCAGCCAATTCTACTTGAAGTAGAAAACTATTTAATATAGTAAAATCAATGTTTCCTTAATGTTTTTTACTTAGGTATAGTCACTATAATAAGGGTAAAAAGTTTATTCAAGAAAAACTCACTTGGTAGAGGATTCTTTAACAAATTGATGAGATTGATTCATAATTCACATGTCAACTTTTTATGTGTAAATCTGTACTTCTAATTTATTCAGTTATTCAGCAAGTACTAAACTTCTCAATAGAGAAACAAAGGTAAGTACAATATACATGGCCCATACTACCTGTGCTATGGAGTTTATAGGCTAGTGGAGGAGAATGATGTTAGTTAAATAATCACAGAAATCAATACAAAATGGACATAGTGGTAAAAATGCTACAAAGAATTGGTACATGGTACTGTAAGAGCATCTAGTAGGGATTTGATTTGTGGAAGGAAATCAGATTTGAGAATATGATGCTTGAATTGCAACCTGAAGGAATAGTATGAGATAAATTAGTTACAGGGCACATGGGGTGTTTTACAGGGCATGCTGATTGAAGGTGGATATAAATGAATATTCTCTTAAATAATTAGCCTTGAAACCATATTTGTACTATTAAATTGTTCAGTTAACTGTTTATTTAATTACAGGAAAAATTCACCTTCTCCATTATGGTTATAAATTACAAATTGGTGAATCCAGTGAAGGGAATATCAACATAGTATTTACTGTATGTACAAAAATAGATAAGAATTAAATACATGAATTTGCCTCGGATTCATTTTATGTATCTGTGTAATATTTAATTTTAGTTCCCAAGTTTTGTTAACCACTTTTACTTTACAGGGTTTATTTAAATTTGCACAATCCTATAGTGAAATCAGACTTAGAAAAGATTTGGGAGAACAATGTGCTCGAAATAGAAACAAAAGAATACACCTAGGTTAATCTCCTGAATCCTACCTGAAGAATTTTGTAAGTTTCTCTTCTCATGTAACACATATTTGGAAGTGAGAAAGATTCCCAAAGGTAAGTCCCCATCCATGTATGTGATTAGAAAATAAAAGATCATACTCTTATATTCAATAATTATTCACAATAATTCACATGTTCATCAATCTTTTTTAAAAATAGGTTTAGGGGGTACACATGCTTTTTGTTACATGAAGAATTGCATAGTGGACAAATCTAGGCTTTTAGTTTATTCATCTCCTGAGTAGTGTATGCTGTACCCAATAGGTAATTTTTCATCCTGTACTCCCTTTCCACCCTCCCCCTTCTGAATCTCCAGTGTCCATCATGTCACTCTATATTATTGTGCATACCCTTTGCTTAGCTCCCACGTATAAGTGAGAACAGGCAGTATTTGATTTTTTTGTTCATGGGTTACTTCACTTAGGATAATAGCCTCCAGTTCCATCCAAGTTGCTGCAAAAGACACTATTTCATTCTTTTTCATGGCTCAGTAGCATTCCATGGTATTTATATATCACATTTTCTTTATTCACTCCTCATTTGATAGGCACTTAAGTTGATTCCATATCTTTGCATTTGAGAATTGTGCTGCAATAAACATACAGGTGAAGGTGTCTTTTTTATAAAATCACCCATTTTCTTTTGGGTAGATCTCTAGTAGTGGGATTGCTGGATCAAATGGGAGATCTACTTTAATTCTTTGAAAACTCCATACTATTTTCCATAGAGGCTGTATTAATTGACATTCCCACCAACAGTTTATAAGTGTTCCTTTTTCACTACATCTGTGCCACCATCTGTTTTTGATTTCTTAATAATGACCATTCTGGTAGGGGTAAGGTAGTATCTCATTGTGGTTTAAATTTCATTTCCCTGACGATTAGTGATGTTGAACATTTTTAAAATATGTTTGTTGGCCATTTGTTTCCCTTCTTTTGAAAAATGTCTGTTCATGTCTTTTGCCCACTTTTTAATGGAGTTATTTGGAGGGTTTTGCTGATTTGTTTGACTTCCTTATAGATTTTGGATATTAGTACTTTGTCAGATATATATCTTGCAAATATTTTCTTCCATTCTGTAGATTGTCTACTTACTCAGTAAAAAAAAAATTATATATATATGTTTGTGTGTGTGTGTGTGTGTATGAAGAAACTGTGAAGAAACTTCTTAGTTTAATTAAGTCATATTTATTCATTTTTGTTTATGTTGTATTTGTTTTAGTGGTCTTAATCATAAATTCTTTACCCAGGCCAATGTTGAGGACAGTTCTTCCTAGGTTTTCTTCTAATATTTTTGTGTTTCGGGTCTTACATTTAAGTCTTTAATCCATTTTAATTTTTGTGTATTGTGAAAGAAAGAGATCCAGTTTCATTCTTCTGCATAAGGCTATCCAGTTTTCCCAGCACTATTTATTCAATGAGGTGTCCTCTCCCCAGCATATGTTTTTGTTTGTCTTGTCAAAAATCACTTGGTTGCAGGTATTTGGCTTTATTCCTGTGTTCTCTATTCTGTTCCATTGATCTGTGTGTCTACTTTTATACCAGTACTGTGCTATTTTGGTTACTATTACCTTGTAATATAATTTGAAGTTGAGTAATTTGTTGCCTCCAGATTTGTTCTTTTTGCTTAGGATCGCGTTAGCTATTCATACTCTTTTTTGGTTTCATATGAATTTTATGGTTGTTTCCTCTACCTCTGTGAAAAATAAAATTGGTATTTTGGTAGGAATTGCAATGACTCTGTAGATTACTTTGGGTAGTATGGACATTTTAGCAATATTGATTCTTCTAAACCATGAGCATGGGATGTTTTTCCATTTGTTTGTATTATCTATAATTTCTTCCAACAGTGTTTTGTTCTCCTTGTAGAGATTTTTCATTTCCTTGGTTAGGTATACTTCAAGATATTTTCTTTTTGCAGCTATGTAAATGGGATTGAGTTCTGGATTTGACACTCAGCTTGGTTGTTATTAGTATATAGAAATGCTACTGTTTTGTGTACATTGACTTTGTAACCTGAGACTTTACCAAATTCATTTATCAATCTAGGAGTCTATTGGAGTGGTCTTTATGGTTTTCTAATATAAAATCTTATCATCCACAGAGATAGTTTGACTTCCTCGTTCCCAGTTTGGATGTACTTTATTTCTTTCTCTTGCCTGTTTGCTATGGCTAGGACTTGTGATAATATGTTGAAAAGAAGTCATGAAAATGGACAACCTTGTCTTGTTCGGGTTTTAAGGGGGAATGCTTTCAACTTTCCCCCATTCAGTATGATGTTTGCTTTGGATTTGTGATATATGACTTTTATTATTTTTAGGTACCTTCCTTCTATGCTTAGATTGTTCATGGTTTTTATCATGAAGAGATATTGGATTTTGTCAATGCTTTTCCTGCATCTATTGAGATGATCATATTGTCTTTGTTTTTAGTTCTGTTTACATGGTGAATCACATTTACTGATTTGCATATGTTGATCCCACCTTGTATCTCTGGAGTGAAAGCAACTTGATCATGATGAATTATTGTTTTGATGTGCTTTTAGATTTAGTTTGCTAGTATTTTGTTGGCGATTTTTTTCATTTATACTTATCAAAGATATTTCCCTGTAGTTTTCTGTGTTTCATCCTTTCCTGCCTTTGGTATCAGAGTAATACTGGCTTCATAGAATGAGTTTGGGAGGATTCCCTCTTTCTCATTCTTTTGGAACAGTTTCAGTAGGATTGGTACCAGTTCTTCTTTGTAAGTCTAGTAGAATTCAGCTGTGAATCCATCTGATCTGGAGCTATTTTTAGTTGGGAGATTTTTTTTATTACTGATTCTCACTACTTGTTATTGGTTTGTTCAGTATTTCTATTTCTTCCTGATTCAAACTTGGGAAGTTGTGTGTTTCCAGAAATGCATCCATTTCCTCTAGATTTCTGATATGTTTGAGTAGAGGTGTTCCTAGTGGTCTCTGATGATGTCTTGCGTTTCTCATTACCAGTTATAATGTACCCTTTTCCATTTCTGCCTCAGCTTATATGTATCTCTCCCTTTTCTTAGTTTATCTAGCTAGTGGTCTATCAATTTTGTTTATATTCTCAAAGAACCAACTTTTCATTTCATTGATCCTTTGTATTGTTTTGTTTTGTTCTTCTTTCAATTTCATCTAGGTCTGCTCTTTGTTATTTCTTGTCTTGTGCTAGCTTTTGATTTGGTTTGTTTTGTCTTTCTAGTTCCTTGAAGTGTGATATTAGGATATTAATTTGTGATTTTTCTGTCTTTTTTATGTAGGCATTTGGTGCTATAAACTTTACTCTTAGCAGTGCTTTTTCTGTATCTGTGAGATTTTGGGAACTTATGTCACCATTGTCATTCAATTAAAAAAATTTGATTTCCATCTTGATTTTGTCATTGACTCAAAGACAATTATTCAGCAGCAGGTTGTTTAAATTCCATGTATTTGTATAGTTTTGAGTGTTCCTCTTGGAATCAATTTCTAGTTTTATTTCACCATGGTCAGAGAAGATAAATGATACAATTTTGATGTTTTGAAATTTTCTGAAACTTGTTTTGTAGCCTCATATGGTGAATCTTGGAAAATGTCCCATATGTTGATGAGAAGAATGTATATAATCTATGGGTTTGGCATACTCTGTAAATGTCTGTTAGGTTCATTTGTTCTAGAGTCCCATTTAATTTCAGTGTTTCTTTGTTGATTTTCTGCCTCGATAATTTGTCTAGTTCTGTCAGTGGAGCATTGAAGTCCCCTACTATTATTATGTTGCTATTTATTTCTTTCCTTAATTCTAGTAATATTTGTTTTATGAAT